GGCCCCAATCCTCTTATTTAAGCTTCCTGCTGGTAATAGAATGACAGGACTGTGCCACTGCTAGTGCCCAGACTGGCCTTGAAGTCTGATCCTCCTGATCTCAGGTTCCCAAGTATCTAGGATTACAAGCATGAGCCATGGGTACCCAGCTTGTATAGTGTTATTTTTGTATGCTGAATATCTTATATATAAAACATTAATATATTACATTAATATATTACTACTACATATTAAGTATTAATATTATGTTTAAGAAGAATTTTGTCATAAATACACATTGCACAGTAGAATCTCAAGTGTTCAGTCTCCTAGTGGAATTATAATATACAGTCATGGACTCATGGAAATAATGAATTAAGTAGTAACTAGAAAAATAATCAAAAGCCAAAAAATGACTGCTTAAATCTTAATTGAGCTTCTAAGGCCACAAACGTTTCTGAGCCTTAGTTTTATCATCTTTAAAATATCCTTTTAGAAGACTTTCAATGTTTAAATTAAATAAGTGGTAAATGGTAATACATTATAGCATTTCCATTACTCTTGTTAGGGTCAGAGTCCGCTATAAAAATCTAAAATATCTACTATGTTCTCTGAGTAATAGTACAGTATATAGCACTTTAGTTAATTCATGGGGATAACAGACCACTTTTATCCATCTAAGTATTCTTGGAAGCTTATCATTCATAATCCTTAAATCTTATTGATAAAAGTAAAGTATATGATATTAATTTCTTCATCTCTGAAAATTGGCAGTTCACATACATGGATGTTCCATGGTTCTATAATAACTAGAACATTTGTTTAGTCAGTCTCTTCTCAGTAGTGCCAACTGTTCATTTTCTTTATCAAGTAAAGGCCAGTTTTGATATTTTTCCTGGCATCCTGGACATATAAAATATTAGTATTTGATCTCTCTCTTATTTGTTATGATTGTGACTAATAGTAACTACCTGAGCTGAGATCTTGCCTATGACAAACACAATGCAAAGCATTTCACATGTGTTAATGCATCCAGAACTCACAGCTGCAAGGTAGCTAATGCTATTCATTTACTGAAGAGAAAATGAAGACATCTGGTATGGAAGTAACTTTCCTTAAAATCATCTTTTAAGAGACAGAATGGGAGTTTGAGCCCAGGCAGTCTGATTCCAGAACTGAGGCTCGGCATTATTAACATTGCACCTGACTGTGAGTGTTTCCAGAACACAACCTATGGGCACTGATTCCAGAGAGGCTGAGTTGGGGATCTTGGATACCAATAGCAACTATGAAAGTGAAACTCTCCCAGAGTGTTTGGAAGGATGTGTTAACCCGACATACTCTCAACCACAGCTACGTGGAAGTGAACTAGTTCATTTTTGTTTTCACATATTCAATTTGTTGAATTGAGTTATAAGAGAAAAAAATAACAGCCCATGCAAGAGAATAGTTTACATATATTTTCAGCCAGGATAACTTGTCATTTCCCACCAGAGTATAGTCATGATGAGTAAAACTGATTTTTAAAATTACACCGCAATTTTGTGTAGACATTTGCGTATGCAGGTTATATTTGCTGTATTTTACTGCCTTCAGTTTGCAAATAGTGGTGATAATTACAAGTTGACTTAAATTGTTATTGGATAATAAGAATTTATACATTTCTAGAATATATAATCAAGATTATGCATTGGATTAATTCAAGAGTTAGAAATTAGAAAATTTGATAGAATTTAGTTTGCAAGACTAATCTTTATGGTGAAACTCAGGGACCACTCCTCCTACATATATAGTTTTTTTTTTCTTTTTTTTTTTCATTTTTCTTTTATTATTCATATGTGCATACAAGGCTTGGTTCATTTCTCCCCCCTGCCCCCACCCCCTCCCTTACCACCCACTGCGCCCCCTCCCTCTCCCCCCCCTCAATACCCAGCAGATACTATTTTGCCCTTATTTCTAATTTTGTTGTAGAGAGAGTATAAGCAATAATAGGAAGGAACAAGGGTTTTTGCTGGTTGAGATAAGGATAGCTATACAGGGCATTGACTCACATTGATTTCCTGTGCGTGGGTGTTACCTTCTAGGTTAATTCTTTTTGATCTAACCTTTTCTCTAGTACCTGTTCCCCTTTTCCTATTGGCCTCAGTTGCTTTAAGGTATCTGCTTTAGTTTCTCTGCGTTAATCTTTATGGTGAAACTCAGGGACCACTCCTCCTACATATATAGTTTTAAAGCAAATTGTGTCTTAACCTCTTCAGGTCCTCACATGGTTTACTGTCATTGTGGTATTATAAAATCCAGGAAGCTAACCTTTTCTTACTTAAAATGAACTCAAAATGAAGCTAAGATTCAAGTTATCATTATACACTGTGAAACATTTTCTTGGAACTTCATAGTCCAAGTCATAGGCTCTCACAGCCCTCCTGAGCTTGTCCTAGAAACCTAACTGGGGGAGACTTGAAGATGCAGAAAGAACAACAGACAGAAGTCAAACCATGCATAAAGCTGGGTCCAGGCAGGATGGATGCTCGAATGGAGACACACCAGCACACTCCACCTCCAGTGAGTTTATTATATAGAGTGACAATATGAGGCGGAGAGGCATTTCTCAGGGGAGGGGGCGTGGCATTGTAATCCTCGGGAACAGGAGAAACTTGTGACAGCTTCTCTCTGAACGTAAACATCTTAGTAAGAACAGCTGTACTGCATCTTGCCCACTTCTGCAGCTGAGGCTGTGCCAATCAAGCATGCAATTACTGGGCATAACTATACTTGGTCCCTTCTGCGGTTTAAGGCTGTGCCAAACTCAAACACACAGCTTATTTAACACACCTGTCGGCTCCCAACAATAAACGTAAAAGTACAAACACACACACACACACACACACACATACACACCCTCCTACACATGAATGGATTGATTTCATGAAATTTATTTGAAAGAGTGTTTCAAAGAGTATTTTGTAAGAGTGTTTTAAGCACCAATAACAGCTTCCCATAGGAATAACATTTTGTTACTATTAGAGTACAAAAGGCTATCTCTTACCTCACACTATTTTAAATATTGCTTTTATGGAATCATCTTTTACCAATTCCCTTTCTGGACAAAAGAAACATAATCCCCTGTACCACTGACCCTAGGAAAGCCTCTACTGCCATACCCATAATAACCATACTGTTTTCAATGGCATGCATTCTGTCAACGGGGATAGTTATTAAAGCCAGGGATGCCCTGGTATAGAACAATTATGTAGATGTTAAGAAGCCATGTTTATACTTTTAAAATGATAAATAAATACCTTGGATGTTTTTCTAAATTCATAGAGTAATAATAAACTTTCTTGAAAGTAGAAAATACTGACCGCAAGTGTAAGATAATAAAGATGCCCATCCACGTTGTAGTTAAGGAATTTTATTATTTTCTGGTTTTCAGTATCACCACATATAAGTAACTGAGAAGTGAAGTTTATACTAACCACATTTTTGTACATTTTTATAATTAACCACTTTTTAAAAGAAGTCACAGTAATTAGAGTTAGAAATTCTTTCAGATGCAGTCATTAGCCTGGAAAGAAAGCAACAATTACATTCTGGAAAACAATTATTGGAAGCGTCAGTAAAAGATATGCTCTTTCTTTCTAAAGGGTGATATTAGTTTTTATAAATGTGTTTACTTTGCAAATAATTACTCTTGTCAATAGGTACTCTTTGGTTTCATTGTGATGTTCTAACAAATGAACATAGATTCAGTAGCTTAAACAATATGTCTATATATTACAGTTTCAAAGCTAGAAAGTCCAAGATCAAGTGGCTAGCTCATTTGGTTCCTTGTAAAGACCTTCTTCTCAGCTTACAGATGGCCTTCCTCTTGCTGGGTTCTCACATGGTAGAAAAAGAGCTCTGGTCTTTCTCCTGTCTTATACAACTGCTGGTCATGTCATGGGGCCCCAGCCTAATGACTGTCTCTAAATCTAATTACCTCCCAAAGCCCTAAGCACCATCACATCAGGGGCTAGAGCTTCAATAAGTTGATTTTGAGAGGACACAAACATTCAGTCCATAACAGTGTCTAATTGGATAATGTACATGAGCTTTGTGCACATGGAGCTTTTAATTTTTTTTTAATTGAATGTCTTGGAAAAGTCAAGCACTCTCCAGTTTACCATACTTCCTGCCTCCCTACCATCACACCACATATTCTTTTTTTTATTCGTTTATTCACATGTGCGTACATTATTTGCATCATTTCTCCCCCCTGACCCCATCCCCTCCCTCTCCCCTCCACCCTTCTCCCCCTCACTTCCAGGCAGAATCTTTTCTGCCCTTATCTCTAATTTTGTTGAAGAGAATGTATAAGCAATAATAAGAAAGACAAAGCATTTTTGCTAGTTGAGATAAGGATAGCTATACAGAGAGATTCCTAGCATTTCTTCCATGTACAAATGTGTTATATCCCAAGTTGATTCATCTCTGACTGAACTTTTCACTAGTTCCTGATCCCCTTCTCATATTGACCTCTGTCACTTTAAGGTTTCTGTATTAGTTCCTCTGCAGTGGGGACATCAAATACTATCATGTTTTGGGTTTCTTACCTATCCCCATACCTTCCATGTGTGCTCTCCCCTTAGTGTGTGACTCAAGTCCTACAACAATGCTACATTTGCTCTAGATCTAAAGTCTGCATATGAGGGAGAACATACGATTTTTGGACTTCTGAGCCTGGCTAACCTTGCTCAGAATGATGTTCTCCAGTTCCATCCATTTACTTGAAAATGATAAGATTTCATTCTTCTTCATGGCTGAGTAAAATTCCATTGTGTATAAATACCACATTTTCTTAATCCATTCATCAGTAGCGGGGCATCTTGGCTGTTTCCATAACTCATGCCACATATTTTTAATGGTGTGAACTATCAAGCTTCTGAAGGTACTTGAACTTGTGACTACTTAGCCAGTTAAATTGCCATGTGGCATTTATCAAGCTTTTGGCATTAAAACATTCTTTGGATTCTCTTTTACAGGATGGAGAACCTAATAAGGGGAAGGAATCCCCCACAATACCAGAGGAGTCCTTGTAAAGAGGTTCGTGCAGCACTTCGGAAGAGGCCTGAAGAGGAGTGTAAGTATGTTTAATGGGATTAACTGTGTTCTAGGTAGATTTGGGTGAGTAGCATAGTGAAATGACAGTGTTAACCCTTAAATGTTCAAATAAGAGATGTAGTCCATAAATATTTGTTGAATTGAGCTGATTTTGAAAACCAAATTATTGTACCTCACTTGAATGCAAGTATGAATATTCCACTAGTACTTTAAGATAGTCCAGTGACATTTGGGTATCAGGTTCAAATGAGAATGGAAAAGGCTGTGCAATATCAGATCTTTCTTAGGTAGAGGTACACCATGTATATTAATAGTTCTGAGAAGTTCTGAAGTAAAGAAGTTTATCAAATGTACTTTAAAAATCAATGTTTTCTAGTTTCCATTTGACTGGAAACATGTTCTTTTCTAACATGGTTTTTTAAAAAAAGACTCTGAAGACCACTCCACCACTAAATAATAAATGCTTAAGGGTAAAATGTAAGCTCAGCTGTCAAACTGATGCATTTTGTTTAATTGAATTTAAGAAAAAGTTTTGAAAGATAGATGTCATGTGTAAATGACACTATAAAGTCATTTTGGTTCATCCTCAAAGTATTAAATATTAGATTATGTAATTGTTTACCGAGACTTTATTTAAATATCTATAGTCTGTAGTATATAATAGATTGTTGGAGATTTTTGACATAATTACCATATTTTACATTTGTAAGATAACCCACAATACAAACTTTCCTCATGGCATTGGAATATAATTATTTTTTAGAGAGCTAAATCATATTCCATTATAACAAAAATTTAACTGAATTCTACCCTTTTATGGGAACTTGCATTTCTTAAGAATAGTGATCCAATGGATCTTTAAAGCTAATGATACAGTGGATCAACTGAAGTTCAGAATTTAGTGGACTTTTAAAGTTATATTGGTATTTTAAATTAGTTTAAAGTACACTTTTCTTGGTAAAGACCAAATATGTTAAATCTGGGCAAACTTTTGGCAAGTAAAGTGTTTTTGTTTTGCTTTGTGTTATTACAAAGTGAATTGATGACTTTAATTGATCTTACCTATGTCGCTCAATAAAACATAAATAGTAGATTTTTACTTTCTAATACTACAATAAATATCCAATGAAAACTAAAGCTTAAACAGTTTATAGGCTGAAAATGTGGTTCAAATGTAGAGTGTCTTCCTAGTAAACACAAGGTCCTAAGTTCGAGCTTCAGTACCGCAAAACAAAAAAATAGCTCATGGGCATTTAAAAAAATCATTTATAACATGAAGATTCATACATGAAAGTATTGCTTCCTTTTATTGGGTTCATAAAGAACTTTGGGGTTTCACTTTATGGGTTTAACACAGTCAGCTCAGTCTCTGGTATAGTTCAGTAGGTTTTATTTTAAAACTTGGTAAAGGTTTTGTAGATAAATCTGTAGGTGATTCTCATAGAGTTGCTATTTAACATAAACGATGATTTCAGAGTTCTTATACTGAGTTACGTACACCAACAGTTGGCCAACTGTAGCTGACTGATGAAATTCAACCCGACACCCATTTCCCTAAATAACATCTTATTGAAACACAGCTATTACCTGTTTATTTGAGTATTGTGTAAAGCTACTTTTCAGACTTCAGCAGTTGTGACTCAAACCATTTGGCCGACAGAACCTGAAATATTTACCTGGTTGTTTATAAGAAAGGATTTTTGTTGTTTTTGGTTTTGTTTTTGGTTTTTTTTTTGAGACAGAATCTTGTTATGTAGCCCAGGCTACAAACTTGCAATCCCCTGCCTCAGCCTCCATGTTGGCATTACAGGTGAGCTCAGCTAGTAAAAGATTTTTTTTAGCCCTGGTCTGAAACAGTGGTTTTCAAATTGTGGTATCCAGACCAGCAGCAGACATATCACAGGAGAACTCCTTAGAAATTCTAGGCCTTAAACTCATATCTACTGATTGAAAATTTTGGTATATTAATAATCTGTTTGGTATATTAATAATATTAAGAAGCCCTATATGAGATTGTGATGTAAACTCAGGTTTGAAAACCCTTTCCTCAGGCAAGTGATTCACAGCAGATAATATAAAATCATCTATACAAAAGAGAATGTTGATAGACATATTTCATAGTTGCCTAGTGTAAAGTATCTACATTAAGTATTTAATGTGTGACTAAAAAGGTAAGTAATATAACTGTTGTTTTATTATAAATCCTAATTATTGAATGAAAAATCTACAAAAATAAAATACAGTTCTATTCCTTTTCAAAGAGGTCTTCAATATCCCTTGTTAGTATAGTGAACAGTACTTCTTATCAAGGTACAGAGCCATATTAATTCCTGGAGGGAAAAAAAGGCAGCATCTCTTTTTTTTATAATAGAAGCAGTTGAGATCATTAATTTTAGAGACACCTGAAAGGATTTATTCTTCAATATGACGCTTCAAGCAACTAGCTCTAGAACACTGGGTATTACTTTTCAAATCTAATACTCAGTTTACATGTCTACAAAATGAGGATAAGGATGGAGCATACCTTATTGGAAGAATTGTTGAAGATATTTATATTAAATACTTGGTATAGAATCTAAGTTGTAGCAAGTTTTCCTTTGTATCTTGATTTTATCTCCTCTTTCTCCATTTCTTGTTCTTCTTAATATTGCTATCCTATACCAAACTAATCTTTCATTTGAAGACAATAAGGCATGTTGTTGATAGCAGAAATGCAAATTTACGAAAATTATCACTCTTTTTTAGAGAAAAAGTAATCTGTGTCAAGGTACAGATTGCACACAAATGGCATAAGGCTGACCTTTTGCAGCAATGGAACTCATATTGCAGATTATAATTCATATTAAATGGTAATTTGTTCAATACATGGAATAGTTATTTCTCTTTGATTTTACAAGTTCAAGATAGGATCTAGCCTGACTTCTTGCTCAACTCCAGTGGAAAGCTGCCACCTTGGAAAACTCCATCAATACATTTACTAAGAATGAGAATGTGTAGGAGAACTTTGTTAGGACTATAGGATCCTCCAGATGAATGAAAACCCATCTCTCATTTGAAATTGCTTCATGGAGGAAGATTTTGCTATTAACATAGCTCATATCATTTCTTTTATAATCTTTTATACTCTTTTATAACATTTTCATTGTTAAGATCAACATTAAGTCACCAGGCATAGCTCCTACCTATTTATTCAGTATTACTTTTATCTAGATCTACTGTACCTAGCATAGCTAAGAAAAGTTCCAGTAAAAATAAATTGATTCCATAAGAAGAGATTTTTAAGCATGGTCAAATAAAAAATTTTGTTCTCAAAATCACAGCCGCATATAGCTAAAGTCCTACATTCTTGTACTACTTCCAGACAAATCTCTCCAAAGAGCCATCTATTCTTGCTCCATTTACTGACTTCCCACTCACTTCGTCAAAGAGGTACAGTCTGGCTCCAACCCAGTCACTCTACTAAAACAGTTTTCATTCATATCATCAATAACCTTTTGATGTTGCTATAATAGTTTCTGTCACTATGTAATAAACTTAGTGATTTAATGCAATGCCATTTATTACCTTATAGTTTCTGTGGGTCAGGAGTCCAGATATGAGGTCCAGGCACAGTTTGTCTGCCTCGGGGTCTCACCAGGTTGATGTCTCATCAGAAACTCAATCGGAAAAGAATCCACTTCTAAATGCTCTCAAGATGTTGTCGTAATTTGTTTCTTTGTTATTGTATGACCAACTGACCCCTCTTATTACTGGCTGCCAACTAGAGGTCACCTCCAGCTTAGATACTGGAAGCTTTCCTGCAGTTTCCTGTTGTTCAGACATTCTAAATATGGTTTCTTAATCTGTCTCTTCTTGGGTAGAGTCCTGTCACTCTTTTCAGTTCTTTTGCCCAATTAAGTTAGAAGCCCTCAAAGCAATCTCAATATTGATGAATTCAAAATCAACCAATTTGGGTCCAAAATGATACCATCAACTTTGTCATAGTCTATTGGCTAGAAGAAAGTCACAGTTCCCATCTACATCCAAGGAGAGTGGATAAACAGGATTCACCCATCAGAGAGTGCAATGATGACCTTGGGGTGACCTTAGAATTCTGCCTACCTACCATTTCCTAAGTGTTGATGCTCTTCTTACTTCCTGAACACTGCTATAAGTCTGAATGCTTATAACACTCTAAAATTCTTATGTTGAAATCTAACCACTAATGTAATGGTAATAGGAAGTGGGCCTTTGGTAAATAAGTAGATCCTTAGGCCAGAGCCTTCAGGAATAGAATTGTTATCCCTCTAAAACCTTTCCAGAAAGTTTTCTTACTCCTTGTACCATGTGAGGACACATGTAGAAGGCACCATCTATGAAAGGTCAAATACCAAACTATAAAAAATAGCTCTCACCCAAATACCAAATTAGCCAACACTTTGACCTTGGGCTTCCACTTTCCAGAACTATAAGAAATAAATTTCCATTCTTTATTAGCGATCCAGTTTATGGTATATTTCTATGACAGTCTGATCAGACTAATACAGAAATTCTCTAATGCCTTGTTTGCCATAGTACTGTGCTTTCCTAGTTTTTCCTCTGATATCTCTGGTTACTCCTTTACAGTCTCAGTCTTCTCTTTCCAGCTATTATATATTGAAAATTTTTAATTGCTGTGTGGTACAATGTGGCATTTACAAAGGTTGTTACAGTATAATTTTTAAAAACAGTGTGAATTTGTTTTCTTTCTAAATATATTGTCCCCACAGACAATCTCACTGCACATAGTTTGTTATTCCTATAATCAAGTGACTCACAAATAGGTATCTCCAACTCAGACCTCTCTCCATTCAGCCATGTGTTTATTTAGCATATCTTCTTGGATATTTCAATAGTGCAAATTCAACAAACCCCAAACCAAATCCATGATATTTCCCTCAAAGCATGAACTTCTAGCATTGTTGTATAAGTTGTGGGTATTGTTAATTATCTAGGTTCAAAACACATAACTCTAGGCATCATTTTTCATATACTTCTTTC